GAAGCATGGGAAATTAACACTTGTAGGAATCCGCTGAACCGTGGTGATGGCATGCATTTGCCGCACGAATCTCTAAATTTAGCCCTAAGGGACAGAACATAATGAGCTCCGATCTGCCGATTTGCATAGTATAAGAACGTGCTTTTTAACAAATTCCTGGTCACTTTCCCCTGATGAAGGCTGAAGTTTTAGCCGAAACGTTGGGACTTTTACAAAAATTTTTACTAACATTTTTACATTGTTTTAACCAGAGTAACGTTTTTCAATCATGAATCAAACACCTGGTTACAGGACCATTTTTAAAACCTTCATCTATTTTTATGTACTGCTAAAGTTTTATCCGAGATAAGCTCGTGTTTATATCGCAGTGTTAATTTTGACTCCTTGATTTCATTCATGAAGAGTTTTCATGTTTTAGTGTCATGTGCGTTCCTCCTCCACGAAAATAATCCTCGAACATGCTACATGCATGAATTTTTTTCTCCATTTAGGGGCGTTAAAAGGAAAAATTGTCACAGGACAATCACAAGAACAAGGGAAACTCAAACGAAAACCAATAACCTTGCGTAATCTTCGACACAGATCTGGGTTGCGACTTCTCATTGCCTCTTGAATCTCAAGCTGAAATTAATCAAATATAAACATATAGCACTCACACTTTACCAAACAAACCGAACATACAAACCCAGTCTCGGATCAATTTGACATAACATAAATTTCTGCAGTTTTGACATACGTCTAAAATATCACGCTCAAACCAAATGACTGGATATTTTTAGGAAGATCGACTGCATAATTCACGAAAATTTTACGAAAGTCATCCAATCGGTTCCGATCAACTCCGTGGCATTTCCAAAAATTGCCGAAAAGTTCTGCAAACTTCCGAAACTTTTGAGGCAGATCAGACAACCCGCTGATGGATACTACTGGCTAGTCTCGGGTGTTCTGAGGACTTCCACCGCAATGCATTGTAAGCACACACATTCACAAGGCATAAACATCAACAAAGCCGACGAATGCGTCACAGGAAACCACTGAAAAGCATTTATAACAAAACATTATCGCACGGCCGTTTTTTTAAGTTATACTTACCCGATATTTATCGACTGGATATTCCAACAACTCTGTTAAAACCTAGAGATTAGGCCCTTCCAGATTATGCTAACATTTTTTTTGGCATGTATTTGATTAAACAAGCATTTTTTTCACACTTTTTCTGTAAAAAGAATTCCTAGCATTATTTAGCATTTTGCATAACTTTAATCTAACTTTCAGCACTCAAAAGATTTAAAATGCTAAATTTTAGAATTCAAAAACATTGTGATGATTTGC